TTTAATGTTACTCATTCATCGAAGCCAGTGCAGCAGTGAAATGAACATGCTGAAATCGTATTATCTTGACGATACTTTGTCCTTATGTCAACTCTGCTCATTGCTTCATCCAGCGGATTGTTCCATTATGATTCAATTAATTATTATAGTCCCATTATCACATTAATGTCACATTATCACCTAACGTGTAATTATTTTTTTGTTCGTGCTGACACTAAATTATGAGATTCATACAATCATATCACTCACTGAACAAATTATAATTTTATAAAAACTCCACTTTGTGACATTCGAAACTCACTGGACTGTTTTTATTGTTCAAAAACGTAAAATGTTCCTGCTTTAAATTGGTCCCATTTTTTCCATGTCATTTTTGGCCTATTATTACACTCATACACTTAGTTGAGGTCATTTTTATGTTATCATACCACACATTTTTCGTTTCGATATTACCTTCTATTATGTTTCTGGATGCCTCTAACTCTCTACTGGCTGATTATTAGCGATTACCTTTATCTTATCTATGCGCCCACATATATAACTGCATGCTGCATCATTCATTACCCAAAAATATTATTCAGTTACCGCGATTAATATTCCGTTCCCATTACACTATATACCAGAACATAGATCTAGTTTCTCAGAGATACACTCTTGTTCGTCAGATCCGAATCAATCTCACTTGTCTTCATCAGTAATATGTATTGGTATTTTTATCATGACTTAGTAAGGTTTTGTAACAAATGAGGTCGAGCACATCTCCTACAGGCTACAAAAACCACTCTAGACTTCATGACCAAAAAGGAATACGACTCCGCTTATCTCGTCTACAAGTCACTATCCTGTTCCTCTGGTCATTCTACCAATACATATTTATCGATAACTCGGTGCATCTGTCATAACGCAAACGACAACGTACACTGATTTCGCATTTTATGATTACTATCGATTGCAGTACAGCAGGGAGTATCACCCGTTGATGCAGTTACCAATTCACGATTTGATTATTCTTATCCTACGAACGGGAACTCTATGTATGTAAATTCGAATTTACTCGTAGCTAATCGACGCTATTTACTCTACTGTGGTTCATCAAAACATTTTCATATTTCACTGTTCTTTATCTCTATATTCTGTCGGCATCACAAATCGATTTCTGTCATATTCTACGCTACTTATTTTCACGATTTATTTCGTTGTCATATCCATAAACGATTTATTACTGTTTTCACAATATTTCGAATCGCTCATACGAACATGTTATTTTATCATCCAGACAGTCACAAGATAAATGGATGTTAAATTTTTGTAAGATTACCAATTTGCTCATAATCATAATCCATTTTTGTCCACATCTTTACGATAGTCATGTATTCTTTTACATAAGTATTACATGTTCGTATAATACACTCACTCATCACGTGACACAGTACTTTATCAGGTATAGTACAATTTTTTCCCTAACCTTTAGACTATTGAGCGGACGTCTAATGCTATACAAGTCGAACTTCAAGTAATCCATGAAACTGCATGACTATCGGTTGTCCGGTTGGCAATTTACAGGTTGATTGTTCGATCCTGTCTTGAATCAATGTTATTTATTGGTTTTGATAAGCCTGAATGACAAAATTTTATTTTACTCCACTGTTCTATTATTTTTGTTATTACACTGTCATTACTACTGTAATTAAATCACACAGGTAATACTTACAACATTGTAAATGTTATGATTTTATTTTGTGACCTCTGTAGCAATCAATACATTTTTGGTAGTGTAGGACTAAAGAAGAAACTGGATGTCAATTGTATCATGTTTCAACATAAATGATAAAGATTACATTGTTTTTCAAATAATAGTTCTATATTCAATGTACAAATTAAATATACTAAAATTATTTACTTATTCTGATTTAATAGTGTTCACAAGGACGATATGGTTGATACCTCGTCCATCTCATATAAAACGTGGAAATGGACAACATAATGTAGTTACGATATACTAATAACTCCCGACTGGTTAGTTCTAACAGATATATATATATATATATCGCATTCTGACTTTAATTTTTTGTATGGTAAGAAATTTAAAGTAATTAGGAATGTAACAAATTCAAGTGAAACGATACTTAGTTTTATTACGTTAAAAACTGATTGCTGTATTCTTTTAGGGAATCTTAAAATATTTCTCCTCAAGGCCTCTACAGTTTCTACAATTGATTGATCAGTGGGTGGTGATAAACGTGTGTCAGATCCTTCTTTGTGCAGATCGAATTCTATCGACCGAATTGCAGTGTGGTCTCTAATCTAAGTGACCCGATAACACGTGTATTATGTTGAGATGAGGTGGTAGTTGGAGGTAATCGACGGGAAACCCTGGATCTATGTTTCGTCCTATTTGGGACTCATCGGCGAGGTGTACCTGTAATCTTGAGGGAAGTGATGTAAATACATCTCGGTTCTACAGGAGGTAAGTCGCAGCCCGAATAGCTCAGTGTTGATGTCTCTGACTGTGAAGCTGAGTGACACGGGGTCGAACCCATCAGGGATCATCACTTCCTTCAAGATTACAGGTATATCTTGTCGACGAGTCAAAAATAGCACGAGACCTAGGTTCAGGGTTTTTTGTCGACTACCTCTAACCACCATCTTAAGTTTCTAGAGATCCAGAAAACGTTTTATCTAATTAACTTTAAGAAGAATCTTCGCATAGGTAACCCAAAATTAGTTATTTAGCTATAAATGAAAACTTTATACGTATAAATGTTTTAACGCTTAAGCAGCATTATTAGTTAGGTCTAGAACAATTTATGTAGCTCAGTGTCTGTTGTACAAGCTCATACATAAACTCTCAGTTACATAAAGCACTATAACTATAACTATAACTATAACTTAAGTTTATTATCATGAAAAAGTTTTATTTTCTAAATAATATTTTGGAAATAATTCAGAGTGGCGTGAAAATCATATCAGCTTATTGATTACAGCTTTGTAGGTATCCTGTAGATATTCTGTTTCGAGCAAATGTTTCGATTTATCTTAATATTCTAATTTCTGCTTGCATAATTCGTGTTGAAACCCGAGACAAAAGAGTCTTTCGATTTTTTGACAGTGTTTTCATGGGTAACTCATGAGCTCCCATGTCTTAACAAAGTTCATTGATGCTGTCATTAAATGTACTAACCTCAAATATTAATTATTCTATTGCGTTGTTACATTCTTTTTAACCTCTGGCAATCAACAAAACTCACAGTAGATAAGGTTTATATTCAATATGATCAGTTAGGTGGATTTTCCAATTGGCTTAATAGTCTACTGTGGGAAGTAAATGAAATATTTTAGATAGTATTTTATGACTTCTGAAAATCCTTTGGTGTTGTGAATATGTCACCGATGAGTTTACATTTACCAGTCAGTCAGTCAGTAACAACGTAGAACTTCGTACGTACGTACATCAGTTCGAGTTGCCACACCACATTAGCACAGAGATGCAGTTGTCGATTCAAATCCCGTAGTGATAGAGGTAATAAGAGTATAAGCAGTAATCGGGAAGATTAGGGGTTGGAGATGTGAAATAAATTTGGAAAGAGAAAAAAAAGGACATGAAGAATTCAGAAGATTAGAATTTGGGAGAACACAGAGAGTGTATGCACCTGGGCCATTGCAAACGATTTTGAGCCATGTCATTCAGGGTCTCTAACCATCGGTTGCTATCATCTCGCAGTCCCCAACCAGGTAGTCTGCACCTACCAACATGACTCAGTCCACTTGTCAGTGACTTCATGAACTTGTGCCATGTTTTGGTTTGGCCGCCCCTAGCTTTCTTCCAACCTACTCCTATACCACTGAACACAACACGTCGAGGCAGTCGGTGGTTGGACATACGTAACACGTGTCCCAGCCACCTCAACTGATGAACTTTCACTACTTCATCAATTGATTTGCCATCCTTACCTAGTACCCGTTTCCTAACAACTGCGTTACTTACTCGATGGTCCCATGATATACGAGCAATGTTTCGAAGACACCTATGATCGAATACTAGTAGCCTACGAATATCCTGTACTCTTACCGGCCATGTTTCACTGCCATAAAGTAGGACGGAACGAACTGCTGCGCAGTAAACCCGTCCTTTGATTGATAGACGGATATCTCGCCTACGCTGGAGTCGGACGATTAAACACTGACTACCGTAAGTCGTTTTATGAGTAGTTTTGCCTAGTAGCCATGTCGGTCAATAAACATCGATTACTACCTATAATGAGAGAAAACTAGACGATATACTGGTATTTATTTAGTAAGATGCTAGTTTATTTGAACAAGTGAATAATTTTACATCGGATCATAATTAAGTTGATGTGTCTACTTTAAGAGCAATAGTTTATCGATGATATCAGTAGATTAATCTGTTATTGATTCATTATATAAACCGACAGTAATTATCACGGTGAATAATATTATGTGGATGCAAAATTTATTTCTCTGTGTTATCGCTTTTCTTGTCTAAATGTAGACTTTTTCCAAGTTGACTTGCACCTTTCAGTCTACGATGGAATAATGATGTGTATTGTTAAATTGGTTTATTATGGTGTGATATTATTTTAAAAATCATCCTTCTTGAATCTTCAATGCTTATCAAGATTTCACATGTTCCTCTTTTTTTGGTTCTTCTGAAAAGTACATCTACACATGAGTGGATAGTTGAGTTGCATGTCACTTGTGTTTGTAATATAAGATCTTTTATTATTCGATTGCATGTCTTCATGTGAATTAACAAAACGTATGTACGTGCATGTTCAAGTTTACATATCCAATAGCTTAAAGTGTAATAATTGGTTTAGTTTATCTAAAACCCTGCTTATTACACCTAATGAAGATCAATCGTAAAGTAATGATATATTTGTAAGTAGAGATCAGAATTTCTTACGTTTTCCAGCTTAGTTTAAATTTCCTCTTCAAGAGAGGAAATAAATAAATAAACGATAATGATGATAATAATAATATTTATTATTAGCTTTATTCAATATTATGTTTTTTGGTACAGTATAGAATTCTCAACACAAAATATTTGAAAATGTTTCCGTTTCTTACTTCTTGGTCGATCCACATAATTCTTGTACTTCATTGTAAAGTAGTTTCCTTGCTTTATTTCCTCTAGTTTAAAACATTTGAATTTTATGGTATTTCTTTTTGGAATTCTATATAATTTTCATGTATTTTATCAATTTCATTACTAGTCAACGTATTATTTGTTTGTAGATATCATTATCAAGGTTTGACTTGATAATTTCGAATAAATTGAGCATTGGATAAATTTTTTATAAATAAGTACATATAGATTTTCTGACGTTTCGTGACTTAGGATTAGCCACTTCTTCAGAAAATTAATAAATAATCAAATCAAAATTAATCTATGTTTGAATATATTACAAATATATTATTTAATTATATTATTTATTTGACTTGATTTTGTATTAATTCTTGTTTTAATATATTAATTGCTTTATTCTTAAATTTGTACTTTTTTACTTCTTGATATCTATTATCTATTTCTTTAGATAGTTGTCTATTGTTAAAATTAAGTTTTTCATATTCTTGTGTTAACTCCGCCTGTAACTCTTCTAGAATTGCTGTCGATCCCATGCCGGGATATAGGAGAGGGGTTGGGCATGGGGTTAGCGACATCATCACGTAGGAAACTAACTCGCTAAAAAAAACGCTAACCAGCTAAAAATTAATATTCTTGTGTTATAATTCATAACAAAATTTCAACTTGTTTTAATACACATTGTGAAAGGTGTATTATGATAACTTACATCATTTAATTTATTTTATTAATTTTCTTTATGAACTTTAACCTTTTTCTAATTTTCTAATTGTGATTTTGTAAAACAATATTCAATTTGATTTATTTTATATTCTAAATCTTTTCTTTTTAAAAATTGACTATAATACTTTTATAATGATGTAGATTTTAGCAGGATACAGTTTTAGGGATTTCCATTTATGATTTAATGGGATCAATTCATTTTGTATTATATCAATTTATAACTTATAAATTATATTTTTTGTCTCAATGAAATTTGTAATATTTTAATTAATTTTGATTATTTACCATAATTGATTCCTTTTTATGTTTGTGAATTTCTTTTTAATTGTTTCATAGATTTTAATAGTTTAGATATAAATTCATTCATAATTGTTTGTCTAATTTGTAAAATTTTTAATTGATTCATATTAATAATGTTGGACAATTCATTAATATCAATCTGTTCTATATTAATTGATTTATTTGATTGTTTCATAGATGTATCAACACTTTGTAATCGAAATAGTTTTGTTCTACTTAATGTATACCCTGGTGGTGGTCTATACAATTGGATGTTTTTTAATTTTGTGTCTGTATCCATTGGTGTTGTTTTTACAGGTAAGAATAATAAATATTTCGAGTGTATGACTTTATTCTATTTCTTTGTTGTAAATATGTAGATATATATAATTACACTGTTTAACTAACTAGCGTTATTGATTAGTGAAGTTTTAAATTATCAAACTGTAATCGATCAATATACAATGACCTATAATTTAATGAATACATTATTATCTATAACGATCTATAAACATATTGCGAATAATCAATACTATATATATATATATATATATATATATATATATATATATATATATATATATATATATATTGAAGGAATTTAATTCCTGAAAAAAACCGTGTTAAGTCATAGTAATCTGGACAAAAATATGCGTTCTAACACAGTTATAACACTGTACAGAAATTAATCGTTGCAGTCCGGAAGGTTTGAAGACAGAAAATGATGTGTATAACTATTCTTAGGTGCATCAGGTTGTATATATTTAATAACCAGTTTTAAGATTTTTTTATATTGTCCTGAATATAAGCTGTCTTTTGATTTATCAATTGTTTGGATGTCTTTTACCATCCATATAATACACTGAATTAATCATAAATCTGTATATCTATTTTATGTCATGTTGAGATTTATTTATTATGTGTTTTTATTTATAACTTACTAATTCATATGAGTTATGATTGTAAATAATAAAGTTTTACTTACAACCAATCATCGAGCTTTTCATTATGTTGATTAGAGGCTCGAGGCCCGTTCAGTATGAACAATTAATGGACAGAGTTTGTGAAAACAATGCTAGTAACATAAGGAAAAACAATATACTATGATGTGAAGAATAATAACAGTGTGGTCTAACATTGGATATTTGAGAGAACGTAATATTCTACTAGGAAAGGTAAAAGAAATCCAATCAAACTAACTAGAAGGATCGAATTATGTGTTTTCTGACTTCATTGTTGGAAATGAACCAAAAAAATGAATGAAAATGATATAATATTTTTGAGTAGTTCCTCGTTTCCATCTTAAGAAGAAATATTGCTGATTGCAAAAAAGCTTATTTAAACAATGAGGAGTAGAAGACCAGTGAGTAGTTGCAGCAAATAAATGTGATGGAAAATTTACTGTTGAATTATATCAGAACTCCTTAAGATTATGCACTGACCACTGGTTTTTAGTACAATCATTAAAAAAACTTTTCATAGGAAATTACAATTTGTGAAATCAATCGGTTTGAAAGTAAGACAACAATTCATTGATAACATTGATTGACAATAGTGTTATGTTGAAGGCTTACTAGTTTAGATAGTGAATTATTCAGTATCACATTTTCTATGAAACCTAAACTTATTTTCACTGGTTGAAATCATGAGTTAATTGAAGTTAGACCACCATGGAAAACCTGGAAGCACTGGACGGCCGTTTCGTCATAGTATGGGACTCCTCAGCAGTGCGCATCCACGATCCTGTTAAGAAATTTTACAGAACGAAGATTTTCATTAATTCTGAAAAGTTTTGTCAAACATTAATGAAAATTGGCTTCATAATATCAAACTATTTCAAGATTATTTATAAGAACATTCATGTCAATTTCAATAAATAGTTTCAAAATAATTCTGCATCAAGTTTATAAAAAAACACTGAAAAGGTCATTGTAGAGAATCTTTTGAATTTTATGTCATCATAAACTTAAATGATTTCATATATTTTAAATCATGAGAATAAACATTCATTGTTTATTCATCTATAACTATTTATTACTGTCTAATATCATGAGTTTAGCAAATTTAAACAAAGTCGCATTAGGGAAACAAAAGACAGAATGTTATTTTCTCATCAATCATGATATCATGTTTACTTTTGAAAAATAAAAAGGAACACCATTAGAAAGTTAATTATTACAATAAAAGGAAAAGACATCATATATCAACGTAAACTTAGAACATGTGGATATAAGTTTGATTGAGTAAATACATGCATACATACACAGATGTTTAACAAAATATCATTCTCTCAATTAACATCTAATTATTTTATTAAAATCGATCAATCATCATAGTGATTAATTTTGTTTTATTGTAAATTATATAAATAATTTATAAATACGAATAGTTACTAAGGCAAAAATGGAAGTACACAAATTTAATTATTAAAAATCAATCTATTTAGTTCTATTGATGTCAAATAGTTTAAAATTCACACAAAATTACGTAATTTAAAGTTTAGTTAGTTAATGTTTAAAATGTATTATAGTTGTAAAGTAGAGCATAGATAAATGATTTATGCATTATTTGCGGTCTAGAATACGAAAGATTGAAAGATACTTCTAATATAACAGATGACCTAAAGCAAAAACACCGGATGATAAATAGTACATAACAACACTTCATTGGCGACAAAATGCAAGTAAGGGTAGATGAAGTGTTAATTTTAAGAGATATCTCAAGAAAAGATATATTACAGTATATTTACCACTTTTCATAGTGTAGTAACCAAGGGAAATAAGTTTGAAACAGGTAGCATTCTTATATTATGAGGGTCACGATTATGCTAAAATTACTATTAAGGCAATGAGAATAGGTCATAGTAATATAAATTTCAGTCAACTCCATTCATGTAGAAAAAAACAAGTTGAAATAGTGTTTATGGCACTAAAGAAGACCCTCTTTATGAACATTCAGTTTAAAAGAGATAATAAGGCGGAAACTCTGAGAACCAAACTTTCAAGTTCTTTAGGGAAAATTTTATATTCAACTGAACTTCGTATTCCCTTCTCTAACCGATCTGTGGTTCATAATTGTGTAAAGGACGAGCTTTCACTGGTCAAATCAATATGCATCTGTCAGTTTAATTACTCGCGTGGAGAAGGTTATGCTGGTTGCTCAAAGTGAGTTCTTTCAAAGAGCATCTCCGTAAATTACCTTACCTGGACTTCAGAAATCATTCGAAAGCTTATTCCCGGAACACCTGGTTAATTTTGATTACTATGATCCCTTCGAAATCATTCATTAAGTCAGGAAAGTCAGTTAGAAAGGAATACATGAATATTTCATTATTTATAAATAGATTTTACTAAAACGAAGAGCTTATAATGAGCTGAGGTTATAACTTAGTACTTAAGTTCAAGTTTAGTTAATGCAATTGCATACAATCTAAATGTGATGATTGGAGATTGAAGTATAAATAATGATGAAAGATGTCACACGTTATTTGTTCGTACAACAGTAATAGTGAATACCACCTGTGTTAAAAAAAGTTCTTGATTGTTATGCAAATCAGGTTTGGAATTTTCAGTTGTTTTTCGTTTTCATTTTACATTGCGTAAATTAACTACCAACTTTCATTTGTGAAACAAATTTGAACTCAGTCACAATCAGTTCATGTCAACATGGGGAGTAATTAGAAACAGCAAATGAAAATTCGTCTTTTATTATATTAGATGGTTAAATCAAGAAACTTTCAATGCGTGAAATGTACTTTAAAAAAAGCCATAACATCACGATGGTATAATTATTTATTCACAGTATGAAATATTGAAAGAAAGATTTGGAGTTGTGCCTTCTAAATGATTGAATTTTCTGAAACTTGTTCTTTTTCTACATATTACTATTTTTTTATTAACTTGATTCTTAAGCGGAAAACAATTTAGTCAGAAAATCATAATTTTCGTTTTGAGTTTTATTTCATCCAGGAGATTTACCCCTAGGCATTTCCAACCATTCAATCGACTTGTATACTACTGTTAGAATCTGAGAATATTTTGATATATCAGAAGTGATTTTTCGTTGAATTCTACTAATATTTATTTAGTGGTTAAGATAAAATTCAGAAAGTATGTTCCATACTATTTTATGCTGATCATTTAAATATTTTAAATCTTCATGTGTATCAATGTCCAGCCAAGACTTGAAAAAAGGACTATCTTTTAAACTTCTGAGGATTATTTTTAGTATGTTTGATTCTCATCAGCATTGCCAACAACTCGTCAATCTCTTACAAATTTATGTACTAAGCTATGAATTACGCTCGTTATGTGACTGCTACTGATTATATCATATTCGTAAGAGAGTAGTAAGTAAGATATAGCTGATGATCAAAGCCTTGTCGAGATAAAAGTTAGGTATATAAACCACATAACTACAGTTCTGCATAAACTTTCTACAATTATTTTTTTTCTAATCTAATTAATCTGTAATCAATTCGATTTATTTCTCGCAACCCAAATTATTTTATTACAACTAATATTCTGTGTCCAAATATGAATTTTCTTCTTTAAAATACTTATTACCAATATTATGTCAGATTTCAGGGTTCGTGTTTAGCAAGTTTAACTTTTAATGTAACGTATTAGTGGAAACGTATATTCTAATTTTCTTAAACAAAGGTTAGTAATATTTTTATGGTCTCTGTGAAAATTGTTGCTATATCTATGATCTGTCTATTCCCTTTTAACTAATCACTTAACTTAAATACACTTTTCTATCAGATCATCAAATAAGGTACTTTAAAGAATAGCATTTAACTTAATTGAGATTTAAACATGTCAGAAAGTCATGAGTTCTGTAAACAAAAAGAACAAAGCATATTTCAAATGACATGTGAATCTTAGTTATTAATGTAAGCTTTATTTGGTAGTTTCTTAAGTGATTTGGTCATATTCTTAAAATGTTTCTACCTTTAAACTGTTGTATTATAGATTTATTATTATTTTTCGTAGATATAGTTGGTAAAAATACAAGGAAATGAAATTAAAGAGGATACAACAAGTCGTGAATTTAATACGAACAAATATATTTGCATAGAATGAATATTAAGAACAATGCAGAATTGTTCGCAAGGATAAGTAAAAACAAAAGCCACAGATGAAAAGTACGGGATTTATTAGTGTTCACCATTAAATTTGAGTATGAATTAAAAAATAAGTTATGCTTTTAAACTCATGTATTTTTTTCAATTTGATCCCTTTAATAAATAACATCAGTTTTAAGAAACTCGAGTTCCGTAGGATTTGTTATAAACATAGAAAATTAAGTGATTCGTATGTAAGCTAGAAGTGAGTTGAGTTGAGTACGGTATCACTGAACGTATGGACTAACCATTATAAGTCAATTTTTATAAAGATTTGTCATACATCATGTGTAATATGTGTAAGAATTTGTCAATAAAATC